ACCTCGAGTGGCTCCAATTGAAAATGGTTGATATGTATCGTTTTAGAAGAAAGTAAACATAATATTTCTAGGGTATTGTGTGCAATTACAATACAATAACACATACTACTACTAGTAAAGGAGGCATGTACACTCTCAATGTGGTCGCATATTTACAAGGTTTACTTACATGTATGCTAATGTTTGAGGTTAGATTTGCATTGAAATGCATATGAGGAATGTTCTTGGTGTTTGTTTTGAGGGATTATGGTGACATCATTGTTTGGAAGACAAAGAACAAAGGCCAATCTAGATAAGATTCACTATGCATCCAAAAATAAATGATTATATATACATGAATTTTTCCCAAAACATAGAAGAAAAATGAAATTCAAATCACATACAAAAAGATTCTAATATAATATACGATATCTAGTTTTTTATTTTATTTTTTATTAAAAAAAGGAGGAAATGCATAAATTAGTCGGCATTTCTTCTATATTCAACTTTCGTAATATTCGATTTTAATATCACACACAAAAAAAAAAATGATATCAAAGAAAGAATTAATATTGGCTAGAAATTAAAGAACCTGAGTGATCAAAGCAAGCTGCTCGACGCCGAAGGATCTGGCGGCGGCGAGCGTCTCGAGCGCGAGATCTACGGCGGCGGCGCAGTGTTCGTGGCCGCAGGCCCTGTCCCCGCAGGCTGCGGCGGCCGGCTCGAGGCGGTGGGGCACGAGGGAGGCGTGGCCGCAGTAGAGGAACTGGAGAACGAGGAGGAAGACGTCGTACCCGACGGAGGCCACGTGGACGGCGCCGCGCGGCGGCTGCGGGTCCACGTCGGGGCCGCCGCTGCAGAAGAAGCGGCGGAAGAAGGGGCTGCGGGCGGCGAGGATGCAGCGGTGGGCGTGGACGAGACGGCCGTCGACGCTGAAGGTGACGTCACTGAAGGCCTGGCCGTTGATGAGGAGGTTGAGGTAGTCGAGAGAGAGGGACCTTAGTGAGTCGTCGATGGAGTTGGCCATTTTTTTTTTCTGGTTGGATTAACTTATTATTATTATCAGTTGTTTTGTTCGTGGGATTGATTGATGAGACAGATAAAAAGGGCTGAGGAGGGAAGAAAGAAGAAAGAAGAAATGATGTGTGTACGTCTTTTCGTGTGTGGGGATTTTGATTAGACATATTAAGGGCTTTCATTTTTATTTTTTTATTTTATTTTATTTCTTAAACATTTATCTTGAATTTTCGAACTGTTTTTTCAAAATTACATTTCAAATTATTTAAAATGGCATTATAATTTATACACACATAATAAAATTGTTCTTCATGTATTATAAAGATGTTTTTGGTTCATATATCAAATATTTACCTAATTAATAAATAATAGTGATATAGGATATATTACCTCTCAGATCGATCCAACGGTCAATGGAGCGAACTGAAGGAGCCGACCTGGTCGAACAAAGTTCATGTGGGCCAGTGATGGATCGTAGTAACAGGAATCAAGAAGGATCATGCTGATGTGAACAAATGGTTGTGTGGTCGATCGGGACAGATGATCGAGCAAGTAGCCAAGTGATCGACCGCTTCATGCACCAGGAGCGAATTGGCAGTTTGTCCAGGTGTGGTCGAAGATAAGAGCCTTCAAAGGAACGCGGGGAGAATCCCCCCACTCATGTGCCTAGGACACGTGACGTAATCGAATTGGCCTGCATTCATAACTGTTTCTGACACATTCCTTACACATTCTGGGCGCGTGTACCAGAGGTTGTACGATCGCGCAGGTCGAGCAGCAAGCTCAGCCAACCCGGTCAGCTTCTAGGGCAGGTATCTCAGCCCTATTTATAGGAGTGAGGTTTATCATTTCACACACAATATCATATACTCTTTACTATAATTTACCATATTTCTCAAGACCGACTTGAGCGTTGGAAACTCTTCACCGGAAAATCCCTTCGGTGTTAGAATTTCCGGCATGTTTTGGTGATCTACCGCCGAGGATAGCAAGATCGAGACGGTTCTCAGCCAGTCGGAGCGTTACACTTGTATTAAGTAGTAATAATAATAATAATAATAATAATAATAATAATAATAATAATAATAATAATAATAATAATAGTTGTGGTTGATTTTATTCTGTAATTGCCACACAAGATTCCAATGAAAATCAGTGAATTAAGAAGGTTTTAACAACCAATGTAGTATGGAAAATAAAAAATACATAATAACAAAAGAAAAATAGTTAGAAATTCAAAACAACATAACTAAATTTTTCACTATTATTTTATGAATCTATACTTATATTAAAAGGAAACCTATTTACTAAATATAGTAGGTAGAAAAGTCAACTTTAATTAATGAACTTCTAAATTTATCAAGTAGTAATTAATGCATTTATAATTTTAATCAAGTTTCTTATTTTACATATTATTTTTAATCCTTCTTATCTTGACATAAAAAAATCCTATAAAATGGGGTGAGCAAAAACAATCAAAATTCTGTTTCTAAAAACTACAAATCAATATTACGATTTTGAATAATACACTAACAAATTATAATATATTTTTATAAAATTTATAAAAAACTATTAAAAAAACTTGGTTTGTATATTTGTATGGATATTTATATTTTTTTTTAATATTATCTTTGTGTTAAAAAAAACTATTTAACACTATTCTTTTTTATTATATAATAAAATAATAATTAAATATTATATGATGAACAAGAATAAATAAAACTGTTACTTTTTTTTATAAAGGGATAAATTTATATACTAAAATTAAAGTTTTATTAGTATAAATATCTTAGTGAGATAATATATTAATTATTTTATAAGCTAGCCCTAAAATACTCATATTTAAGTTCTGGCTAAAAAACAATGCTGGTTAAAAGATATGAAAAAAAACTTATAACCTTATTATTTTTGGACTTAATGTTGATCAAAAGAGGTAGAAAATTGATAATAACACTATTACTTTTAAGATTTAAACGGACAAGACTGTTAAAATAACTCATTTAATATATATGTTCCGTGCATCGCACGGGGTACGTACTAGTACTTATTAACTGCTGGCCTGTCATAGGCAGAAAAGATGGTCTTAATTTTAATTTGGAATTATTTCACTTAAAAGAGTGGGAAGGTAAAAACAGTGAAACTATTAATTACTGTACAATTCACAGATGATGGTATTAAGGGCACTGTTAAATAGTACCCTTTTGATTATGACTTGAAGTAACTCATTAGGTAAATACTCACACATAGTACTCTTAATTATTTTAACCTTTTGTAAAAAGCAGGTTTTAATAAAAACTTATAATTATGGAAATGATGCAGTTTCGTTACGGAACCATTCCATCAGATTTATAATCATTAGATAATTATATAACCGTCGAGCATAGTTGATCTAACGATTACAAAACCCGGCGGAATGATCCCTAGCAATTTGGGGTGAGCATCGGTGCGGTTCGGTCAAAAACTGCACCGCACCGAAAATACCGAAAACCGAATCTGTAATTTTTTTTCACCGAGCCGCACCGCAATAGAAGAAAAAACCGAACCGCACCGAACCGAATTTTTTGGTTTGGTGCAGTTCGATTTTTTGATTAACCAAAATTAAAAAAGATAACCACCGATTAATGTTATGTAAATAAAATTATAAAATTTAAGGTGATATTTTATTTAAAAAAATTAAAAAAAGTGACATTTTATTTCATTCGGTGCGGTTCGGTTAAAACCGCACCCTTCGGACAGATAACCGAACCGCACCGAAACACTTGTGGTTTTTCAAAACCCAAACTGCACCGATAACCGAATTTATCAAAAACCGCACCGAATAGCTCAGTTCAGTGCAATTTTTCGATTTCGACTCAGTTTTGCTTAACCCCTACCTAGCATCTCCCTAGAATCATAATGGTAAAAATGTCTAATCAGGGATCTAGATTGGATGGACAGCCCAATCACTTACAGTCTTATGATTTAGGTTTCAAAAGATTTGACATTTGACTAGTCTTTTCAAACCTCACTTCATTCATTTTTCCTACCAGTTGTTTTTTTTTTTTTTTTTTTT